GGCAGATTACACAACTGACAAAGCACCTGTCCTCTTGCATCCTCAAAGCCCATACATTTAACACACAGGACAGAAACCTCAAACTTATGCATGTTATTAGGACCCAGTAAACAGTAAGTACTTCTGAATTTTTCAGCCTTGTTTCTGGTTGTCTTGGATTAAGGAGCTTCTTTTACCTTAAGGTCAAGTATTAATTTTTTTTTTTTTGGTTCAGATGCAGAGTTGCCAACAGCTTACTGAACATTAGACCTACTCATGGTGAGAAGTGATTACTTGTCCTTTAAGTACTTTTTTTCCCCAGTGCTGGTTTGCCTTATGGGAATGAGATGGTTAACTAGGAACAACCTAAGTGCATACTACTGTTTGAGGGTTAGGCATGTTTTAAGGATTCATTCATTCTTTCTCAATTCTAAGAAAATTAATGCTTTGACTGGGCAGGGGAGGGAAAAGAGCTTTTGGTGCATGTAAGAAGACAACTACAGTTTTAACTTTTTTAAACTAATCAAGTACAAAGATCAAAATGCAAAGATTGGATGTAAAACTATAGGGGAAAAAAAAGGGGGGATTCTATATACTTAAGTTGAATTTGAAAGCTACTTCCTTCAGTCTGGATTAGAGCATGCTGTAGCTGTGTGAAGGATTGAAGAAATAGTTTTGTTGCACTCTGATTGGAACCCATACTCAACTGATACGCCATAAAGGAATCAGGGTTGATTTATATACCTTTCTAAGAACTGTCATGTGTTCTGCCCCGTTCCAACCTTTCTGGATCTAAACTAAAACTAATAACATCCTGAGTATAGAAGTTTTTTCCAGTAGGGCAATTAAAACAAAGGGAGAGCTTCTTCCCCAGCAGATTAAGATTTTGTTAATGAGCTTCCCAGTGCCTCACACAAACTCTCTTTTTTGGACTACGGTACTTCATTCAAGGTGTTCTTAAACACAAACTACGGTTAAGTGTTCATCACAAGTCTCAAACTAGTATCTTTAAAACTGATAACCAAGTATCTTATTTAAGTGGTTCCTTTTCCTTGGCCTGCCCATTCAGCGAGGCTTTCAGCATGGGGAGCTTCAGTCTTCACTGAGAGCTGAAACCACCTGCACACTCTGCCATACAACAGTGAGAAGCACTGAAGAAATCAAAGAACAGAGGGAGGTGGTTCTGAAATTTAAGCATAAGAGCAGCCAACAAAGCTACCACCAGTACCTCTCATTCAGCTATTTCATAAAGACCACTTCTCCACCCATCATCATTTAGCTAAAATGCATCTCTATTTGTTATTGCAAAGACTTAAGCCATTTTCCTCGGTACGCAAGCTACATTACCATTAAATCAATAATGGAAAGAAACTTTAATACAAGTTTATTTACCAATATACAATGCAAAAACCTAATAAAATGCTGAGTGTGCAGAACATGTTAGGTTTTACATTATTTCAGCACAGGCATTTGTGTGTCTGGCACAGCTACACCAGTACACTATTCAAATGAGTGCAACATTCCCTTTAAAAGGAAGAAGCTGATGAGCTGAACATGCTCACCAGGTACCTTCCTTCACAGTATTCAATGTGTCATCACTTAAGAGCAACTGGAGCACATGCAAAAACATTTTGCAAGAAGCTTTAGTAAACAGAAAGGTTAATGAAGTCTGTTACAGTTGCAAAGAATTTTGATGCAGCTGCTGCCCAAGAGAATAATGGCAGAGTGCTTAGTTTGTGTGATTTACAAGGCAGTTTATGGTCAAAGACTCATGCAGACCTACTAACGCTGTTCTTAATGCTTGCTGAGACTGCAACAGAACATGGGGCAGGAGGGTCTGTATCCAGAATACTCTGTTAACAAGCCCTTCTGCACTAGGTAGTGCACACAGAATGGAGATTAATGCTGCCTTGTTACCTAGTGAGCAAATACTACTGTAAAACATCACTGGGACTGGACTGATTGAAGTAAACATACAGCATTAAAAGAGACTTACTGCTGCCTCTATCAGTAGCAGAAGATCAGTATTTTGAACAGCTTATGGAGTGTCCCTTTTTCATAGGCTTACATCAGTGCTGTTTGTTAGGACAGATATGATCATTAGTAATATCTTTAATTAGAAAAGTCAAGAGCATTAAGCATATAAAACACCTTTTCATTAGCAACATGAAGGCTAGGTTATTTGTACAGTACAGGAAGCACTTCCAGATCAACACAAGATACAAGTTGAAGAGCTCTTTGCCATGTTTTTTCTCAGCCCCTTCACCACAGGAGAGAAGCAGCATAGCTCTAGTAAATTGCTGGATTAATATAACTGCATCTCAACTTAAAAAGAAACAAACAAGCAGCAGCTCATTACGAAGGAATGCTTAGACTAAATCAGTTCCATGTGAAAATATGGAACAGCAGCATCCTCTAGTGCAAGTCACCTTTAAAATTAAAAGCATAGCTGACAATGAGACACTGCTTCTAGGGAAGCCCTTTCCAAGGGACTAGTATTTGCTAAAGCAAACATTTACCACCTTGAATTTGCTTGCAAGTATAAAATAAATATTTGATATCCATATTTCATACATTAAAAATACTTTATTTTACATTCATTTTGATGTTCAATAAGTTATGTCTAGCACCAAAGAAACATTTTGGAGGGGCTGAGGAATTAAGAAACTACAAAGTATAAACGCAGAATTCACTTCAACATTTAAATGACTCATTGGTGCCTTGATTATTTTCTTTTAAGTTATTGATCAGATGGGCTTTAGACTATTGCTTCAGTTCTACACTGCCAAAACAGTGTAGAAATATAAAAATCAGAGATTTGAGAAAAAAAAAAGACAACAAAAAAAAAACCCAATTCTTTTAAACTCCCAGCTACATGCAGAGTTGAGGCTCCAGAACACTCTCAGTAATGGTATGTTATGGCAATTAGGTAACAAGTTAACAGGAAGAACCAAATTGCATAACTAGAATACTAGAAAGAAAGGCTGAGCTTCCTTTCCACAGGAGTAGGACAGAAAATAACGAAGGGTTTATACCTTACGAACTTGTGTGCTGTTTGTACACACGTACAGGGTGGAAATGGTTCTTAAAGCTACTCAGCACATTGCAGTTAGTTCCACTGCTGCCAAGGAGAGACGGTTTTGTCTCCAGTTTTGTCTCAAGTATTCCACAACAAGCCACTTACAGGTAAGCCAAACAAAGTATTACATCTGAGAGGACATAGCCCTTACCTTTTTTGAAGGAACATAACATCACAAGCTCAAAAGAAAAAGGCACTAGAGTTTTGGGTTTTTCTTAGAAATGCTGGCTTTGTAATTATACCCCTTTTATTCTAAACTCACTGGTAACACTATTTTGGTAATGCTGGATATATTAACTAAAACCCAGTCCTGATCAGTATACCTCTGCCAAGTTGCAGAATTAATACTGTTTTAATATTTTGTGGTAGTCTTGCTGACTACAGCCCAAAGCATCAAACCAAGAGGATATTTCCAGTGCTTGCACCTGTTCTGAAGCCAGTCAAGTTCTATGTTTTGGCACACCTGCCATCTTCCATGTGGCAACCACCATTATTTATTAATTTGGTTAAATACCAGCATGGGAATTTAAGGATGAAATGAACATAAAAATCATTTTCTACTCCTCCTTCAACATGTTTCCCTTAATCAGTAGATCTTCCTAAAACCGTACTGTGGATCTGGCATTTCTGTTACACGCTGTGTTACACTGCCAGCTGGTGCCTGTCGCAAGCGCCCAGTTCAGGCTGTAGTTGTTAAGAGTTGTGAGGAGTTACCTCTGAAGGTGCACTGTTCTCACTGCAGTGGGCTGCATTCACAGTTCTACCATGTCAGTAATTTCAAATTCATTGTGTTTAGTCTGGTATGTTTCAAGGTATGTGCAATTAGAACCCTGTCATGGCTTGATTTACAGCTCCGTACTTAGGGAGGACATTAGCTGTGCATTTTGACCTGATCTGTATCACTTCTCATTTTTGTTCTTAAAAACCGATCTCAGTGATCACTCTCCATTTGAGAATCTCACTACCTTTCCCTTCCCCTCCCAATCAAATTCAGAAGGAGGCAGCTACACCTCCTCAGCCCAGACAAGCTTAGAAGTTAGATACCAAAGGAGGAGGAGTAGGCTCCCCTTACAAGAAGAAACAGCGATTTTGCTGCCCATTTCTGGCCCAGATCAGCCACTTCACAGTAGTGCTGACCCCTCCTCCAGAACAGAGCACCACAGCTGCCATGTAGTCCTGCAACTTTGCTTCTAATTAGTTAACACCAGAGCTTCAGTGGGGTCTGTTTCATCAAAAACTCAAGTCACAGCTATGTCTGGATCAGCTGGGTGTGAAGGTAGCTCATCAAGAACCCTTTCCACAGCACAAGTGCCTGCAGGCATCTCACCTACCGCATTTCTTTCCTTCCACTCCCTGCCATGGCTCATCCCTGCTGTATTCTTGACAGAACCTCACCCCGTTGTCCCAGCGCCCTGGCTGTAGTTACTAAGGAGAATGTTCTGAAAGTTTAGCAATGGTCACAAACATCCCCACTCACCGTGTTCCTGAGCTCAGGACTTTTGTAAGCTTCACTTTGCTGCCAGCATTACGCCCAAAAACAAAACAAAGGCAGAAGAAAGTTTCCAGCCAATGAAACTACCTCCCACCTTCAAAGAAAAGCAAGGATTACACTGATACTCATTTGTCCAATAGTAAGGAGTAAAGTAACTACTCTGGGACTACTGGACTTGAGTAAGTTCACGTAAAAGAAATCTGTTCTAATAATGTACCAAAAGCAGTGAAATCCAATGTAGGAGTTTCACAATGAAGTATTTTCCATGATCCAAAGCAAAAGTCTATTTGAAACACGGATCATGAATACTGTGGGGGTTTATGTACTTGCTTTTTTTTGTTTGTTTTTAAGTGACATAATTTCTGTATCTTTGGGGAGGGAAGGAAAAAAATAACGGAGTCCTTGAGGCTGTAATGAGCCTCTGCTGTGTTTTTCCAGATCAGCTGAGTTTCATGAAGCATCCCTGGATATCCAACCACTTTCTGTTAGAAAGTTTAAAATCCTTTTCTTCAGTACCTTATCTAAGTAACTGGGAAGGCGACTCTTTGAAGGAATTCCTTGTCTTTTTTGCAGATGGTCTTTAATGATTATAGTTTTTACAGTCACATAACGTGCCGGACTCAGATTTAGAGAGCTGCAGAGCACCTTTTCCCTGTCTGATAAGAGTTCAAAGCCAGGCAGGTTTTCAATGGCAGCAAATTCACCTTCTTTACCATCTTCCTTCCCCCTCTTGGAACTAGCTATGTTTTTGTTCTCCTTCCGCTTTTCCCGTTTGTGCCTGGCTGCCTCGTATTCTGCAGATTCTTCCATTTTGGTGATTCCATTTCGACGATACCGCTGCAGCTCCCGAATCTTTGCTCGGAGTATCCTCTCCTTGTGCATGTTCTCAAAGAAGTCTTCGAACTCCTTACAAGACATGAACTGGTAGAGAGGCCTCAGTTTCAGCCTCAACTCCTTCTCTTCTTTTGTTATCTTCCGTTTGGGAGCTTTCTCCTTGTCCTTTTTATCCTTCCCCAGAAAGGCTGGTACCAAGTTATAGTCTCGTGCAATGTTCTTCCGCCGTTGCCTCTCCTTGAGTTTCCTAACATACATGTCTACGTGAGCTCTTTTTAACTCTATTTCAACATCATCATCATCATAGTTCACCGAAAGGCCACTGATCAGAGTCTCTGCATCTTGATCGTATTCAATCTCGTAGTCGTCCCGAAGTGGCATGTATCCCAACTGCTGCTGTTCAGCCACCGATATATCCAGCGGTGGGAGCGGCGTGGTCAAGCTAGGAGAAAGCGGGCCGCCACTGGGACATGTGTGATCTGTTACTCTGTTTGGAATAGTGTCGGGGATGCAGGCTTTTCCCAGGTTGCCATGGATGTACATGCTCACATAGTGCTCCATCACTTCCTGAGGCGTTCGGGATGCTCCCACATGAGCAGCCATGTCCTCCTAAATGGAAAATAAGGAGGAGTGATAAAATGATTCCCATTACATCTCCAGCATAACGTGCACCCAGGTAAGAGCATGACTTCTTCTTCCCTGCTCCTACAAAAGCCAACTCACAATACGTAAACTTTTGTAGCAATACTGCAATTAGGCACATTTACATCAGATCTGCATTTTTAGGTTCAGGTAAGTATTTACAAGTGCACAGGGGCACATAAGCCATGAAAACAACACCAGAAACATCACTAAGGCAAGCTGCAGCAGATCCTCTGCGCACAGGAACACCATCGAGACACTGGATCCACACAGTGATTCCTGAGCATCCCTCGCTCCCTCAAAAAGTCAGCTTGCCATCATGAAGAAGCTTTCTAAGTCCCCAGGCAGCACTGAGGTCACTATGTCGTTTGGATTTTACTCCTTTTTGTTGCACTGCTGAAGTATTTAGAGCAGTACAGAAATAAAGATAGTATTTACTCTTTTCTAGTTACAAGAACTAAAACAAGCTACAATAATCATAAACTTTAAGATTTTGAAAAAGTCTTTACATTTAATGAAGCAAAACATAATCAAATCACAATTAATGGATCAAACGATGATGCTTTTTACTTCTTTTTTTTTAAATGACCCTGACTGTATACTGACACAGAAGACAAGCAGCAAGTTTGCAGCTGCAACATACTAAAGGAAAAGACCAAACACTAAGAAGAAGAAGGTCTAAGATCTGGAACACAAACAGGCTGGGGGGAAGGCATATGCTGGAACTTAAGGTAACAACAGGTCCGAGAAGCCCAAAGCGCTCCTTTGCCCAGCAGCTCTCGCACAGGTAGCCCACACAAGGTCAAGGGGCCACCATGCAGCAGAGGCACCTGCCAGCCAGCCAGCCAGAGAGGCTGC